CGGGCTGCTGGCTGTTTACGACACATTTAAAATCAGAAGCGTTTCAGCTTCATGCACGCACACACACACACACATACACACATACACACACACACACACACACACACACAATGATAAATAAAAGTCTGCAAACAAAAGCTTGAATGCAGAGTTTTGATAGTCCTCTCAGCTTTGGTTACTCTATGATTTATTCAGAATTGGTATTTTATGTGGTATTTAATATAATATTCATGCACATGCAACAATTCATAGTGACCACAGGCTGTTAAAGATCGAAACTGAAAAACAGAAACCATAAAAGCACTTTGGATCATTTTAAAATCCAAGATTTCTAGAGTCCTCTGCTAGATTTGAATGAGCAGCAGACTGAGATTTAAATCATTATTCATTTTTGATTAGTTTTTTTTGCTGAAACTCAAGTCAGCGGTTTGAACTGGTTCAGAAGGATGATTCATTTACTGATGCAATTCTTTAGCAAGCGAGTGGTCTGATTGCAGTCATTCTTGTGTTAACAGCTCACTGCAGAGGAAGGTTTTCATTGACTTATTTACTTCACTTTTTTGTTTTGTTTTCTTTATAAAAAGAGCCCCCAGCAGTTTTTTAGGTTGTATTACACTACCACAATGTCAGTCCAATGTGGTTTGTAAAGATTTTTACACAATTAATTAATTCCCTTATCCTATTTAATAACAAAAAATAAATAAAACTAATCCATTCTCTTTTAGAATTGTCTGGTAGATATAAAACAAACTTAAACTTTGGTTTATCATCATAAAAAGTGTTGATGATGTTAAATTAATTTTACTCATGATATAAACGTTCTGAATTGAAATAATTTAGACTTTTTTTTTACTCGACACGAGTTTGTTCAACTGTTGCACTGCCATATAATTGATTATTAAAATAATATGGAAGGTTCTAGCCCTGTCATGATAAAGAATTTTTGTAGTGCCATATATTGTCACGTTTATTGTTGTGATAAGCGATATAATTGTCATTTTGAGATCATTTTATGCCTCTTATTACATAATGGTTATATAACGGCATAATAATGAAAATAGCCATGAACACTTTACATTACTTAGCATTCTTAAATTTATTTCAATTCTATAATTTGATGTCAAAAAGGTAAAAGTCCTATTATATATACACTATTAAATGTTCTATTAGGTAAATGTACAGTTATAAACTTAGATACCGGGGAGGGCGAATGGAAATGTCATCGTAAAATGGCTCAAACATTATTTGTGAATTTGTAAATATACACACACTGGCCACTTTATTAGGTACACCTTATTAGTACCGGGTTGGACCTCATTTTGTCTTCAAAACTGCCTTAATCCTTCGTGACATACTATAGATTCAACAAGGTACTGGAAATATTCTTCTAAGATTTGTGTCCATATTGACATGATAGCAGTTTCTGCAGATTTGTCAGCAGCACATCCATGATGCAAATCTTTCATTCCACTACATTCCAAAGGTGCTCTATTGGATTGAGGTCTGGTAATTGTGGAGGCCATTTGAATACAATGAACTCATTGTCATCGTGTTTAAACCAGTCTGAGATGATTCACGCTTTGACATGGTGCGTTGTCCTACTGGAAGTAGCTATCAGAAGATGGGTACACAGTTTCTAAAATACTCAGACCATCACCAACAACCTTACCACGTTCAAAGTCACTTAAATCACTTTTCATCTCCATTCTGATGCTCGATTTGGACTGCAGCAGATGGTCTTGACCATGTCTACTACCTAAACGCATTGAGTTGCTGCCATGTGAATGGCTGATAAGAAAGTTGCGCTAACAAGCAGTTGTACCTAATAAAGTGGCCGGTGAGTGTACATTGCAATGGCAAAAATGATTAAGGTCATCTCCAAATATTGCACGATAAGTTGATATATTGATTATTGTGACAGGCCTAGAAGGATCTCTGTGAAACGTAACTTAAAAAAGCTAAACTGATGTGGAACTGATGGTATGTTTTGGCTGACCTCTTGTGATCACACAACTGAAAAAAAAAAACAGCATTAAAAACTAACCAAAATGTTCCCTGTGTCCAGGCAAAGAATGGGAGTAAATAATGACAGAATAATATACATCACTCACTTCACTAGCTCATCTTAATAACTGTATTAGTTTACTGGACTTCTATGATGACCGTTTAACCGCGTGTGTGTGTTTTGTGATGCTGGCAGGTGCTGACTGAGACTGCTGTGAGGCGCAGGGCACTGTGGATCCTTGCCTCCATTCGCTGCAGACTAAACAGCGCTTCCTCACGGGACGACAGGGTTCATTCCAGGCTGAGGACACTTCAGGACACCCTCCTCCAAACCTGAGAGTCTCGCGTAAAAACTCCCAGCTTCTAGTGCTCCAACAAAACTGTTTATTAGGAGAAGGAATCCTGGCGTGGCTCGGTTACGCAGCGAAGCGTTGGGTGGGACGATACGGCATTTATAGAAGAGAAGCGCAGCTGCCGTTTTTAACTTGAAAAGCAGTGGGTGTTCTCCCCTTAAAACCCAAGAACGGGCCTCTCTCCGCACTTGATGTATTGAGCCAAATAAAAGCAACACATGTATTTGTATCTGTGTGTTTGGATGACATCAAACGCGAATGGGAGAAAGTAAATTTCCAGGGATGCGACTGCTGTCAGATGTGCGGGTTGTATTTCGTGAATGTTTGGAATCGGCGTCTTTGTTGTTTGACTGTGAAGCTCCGTCTCGCTAACACGCCGTTTATCTTCGCTCTCTGTCCTCCCACACACTCTTTTGACAGGAGAGCATGCCGGAGTCCTTCTCACCACATGAATGCTCAAGTGTGTGTGTTTGTGTTTGTGTTTGTGTGTGTGTGTGTGTGTGTGTGTGTGTGTGGGGTGGGGGGGGGGTAATCCCAGTGCACGGCCTCCTGAAGAGTTTAGTGTCTGTGTACTGTACTTTCTAGACTTCATCAGTGCTTCTCCATGGGTCTGGCTCTCCCTGTAGGACTATTTCCCCACGGCTTTTTCATTATTCAGTCTCTCTAGCATGTGTTTATCAATCAAAACTAGGTCATTCTGAATTTACAGCCTCACAATCACTATGCTTTTATTTGAAAATGACTGGTGTCAATAGGGGTGTTAACAACACAATGCAAAGATGCAGCATTGTGTGTTACACTTAAACAAGGTGTTGAACTAACTTAATTTACGGAAAACTTTTCCACTTAATTATTTCAACTGATCTTTTACATAAATTGAACCCACAAGCAAAATTCATTTGGAACCAATTGTCAAATCATGTTCATTTGAATTACCAGAACTTTCTGTTGCTTATTGCAGTTCAACCTGCAACTGTTTTAATAATGCCTCCAGTTGACTGAGATATCAGAACTGGCATTAGCACAGTTGTGGCCCACTGAGTGGTCACTAGAAATATTGTTATTAATGAAGCTGCCAACACCCAATGAGGGCTGCTCTTCTTCAAATTGATAACCTCAAAACCTTCTAAATCAGGCATGCCAAGCTCTATTCCTGGAGGGCCGCAGCCCTGCACAGTTTACTTCCAACCCTAATTAAACAAACCTGATCATACTAATGGAGTCCTTCAGGCTTGTTTGAAACCTACAGGTAAGTGTGTGGGAGCAGGGTTGAAACTAAACTGTGCAGGGCTGCGGCCCTCCAGGAATTGAGTTTGACATCCCTGTTCTAAATCTTTTAAGTGCAGATTAAACTCTTAAGACAGGGGTGCCCAAACTCGGTCCTGGATGGTCAGTGTCCTGGAGATCCAACATACCTGCAGGTATGTTTCTTAAAAGCCTAGTAAGAGCTTGAGTAGCTAGGCCAGGTGTGTCTGATTGGGGTTGAAACTAAACTTTGCTGGACCCCAGCCCTCCAGGACCGAGTTTGGGCACCCCTGCTCTTAGAAGTCTTTTTCTTTTTAATTTAAACAGGCAAAGATTTATTTATATAGATATTATATGCTTTTCAATTTTTTACACGTCCATTAACCTTGTCGTTACACCAACGCAATTCATTCATGTTTGAATGTCATTCAAGTGGATTGAACATAAAACAAATGAATTGGCTAAATAAACCTGTTCGACCTTCGTTGAATAGATGTGGAATCGAATTGAAAGTATGTGTTTTGACGAAAGCTATTGATGTCAGTGATTACAGGATTTCAGCTTTCTTCAAAATATGTTCTTTACAGTTTAGCAGAATGAAGAAACTCATCGAGGTTTGCAACCATTTGAGAGTAAATAGTGTGTACATTTTCATTTTTTTGGGTGGTCTATTCCTTTAAAAGGCTGTGACAGCTACTAGAAATGTTCATTCTTTCTAGCAATAAAAATATCTTTTTGCAGAAATCTTTTAATTCCCTCTCTAAGCACTTGTCAACATGAGTGTCTGTTGTTTTTGCCGTCTTGAATAGTTTATTGTTCTATCTCCGTTTCTTTTCAGACTGTAAATCAATTGCCTGAGACAGCTGGTGCTTATGATACAATATGTTGTAATAAACACAATTTCAAAATGATAGTACTTGATTTCTTTTCTCCAAGTCCTCAAATTATACATTTCTTAACCTTAAAATAAGGGTATCCATTCATCATCGTTCATATTATTCATCATCAATAGCCCCGTCCCTTCCGTTACATCATTAAACCTGCATTAGTTGAGTGTATGAAGGTGTCCAATTTCAGAACTTTTATTTATTTATTTATTTTTGGTTGTTAAATAAGTGCATCAATAAAGGAGACAGAACAAGAACAACAACAATCTACTGAAGATGCAAAAACAGTAGAAGCCCACCTTGATAAGTGCTTGTGTAAGGAGATTAAAATATATCTGCAACTCTGCTTTAAACAAAAACAAAGACATTTAATCACTCATAAAAACTGCAGACTCTAGATTATAGTGAATTCTACTGCGCATGTCAGGCATCTGTTTATGCACAATATTAAATAGAGTACACACAGAATGCTGTGCATTTAACTGTGTAAACAAAACAGTTCAGACTGTGCCCCACCATTGCTAATTTATTGCTTATAAAAGTATTTTGTTCATAATTTTTCAGAAATATCAATGTTATAATTAGTGTTGTGACCTTACAGTATTGGAAGATCTGCATTGTGTAACAAACAAAATTACAGCACAAGTTATCAGATTCGATACTAGAGTAACTGCAGGCCTAGATGCATCCCGATACTTCCAAAATTGTAAATCCTGCCATCATTTTCTCACCCGTCTCATTCCAAAACAGTTTGAGTTTTGTTGAACACAAAAGAAGATTTTTTTTTTGAAGAATGTTGGGACCATTGACATCCATGGTAGTCTTTTTTTTTTTTTTTTTTTAACAGTCATTTGTGGATTGAACAAAGCAAACCCTCCCAAAAAACTGAAACAAAGTAGGAAAAAGTAGATTGAACCAGCAGTAAAATGAAGTGTTTGTGTAATGGCAGAATTTTAATTTGGGTGAATCCCTTTAATATTGATTAACAAATAAATGATTTTTATGTGTAACCACAATGTAATGTGAAAGATATTTACTGTGTCAGCGACAGAAATGACCCTGAATGTGTTCAGTTTAGTAAAAATGCCAACATTGAAGATAAGGTGACTTGTTTAGTGTGCAAACATGCATGATAATCATATTTTTACCACAAACATTTTCTTCCTATCTGATCGGGACTTGATGTGATGGGCATAGGGTGAACAGGTTCACGAAACGCTGACTTGCTTCATCGTGCATGAAAACAGGGTGCGCCTCAGTATGGAATTTCAGGTAGTCACTCTCTGACACTTTACAATGACACCGATATTTGTGTACCATCTTTTTATTTCTTTATGACAATACAAAAATATGACATTTGGCTTTTATTCCATGTGTTCTATACAGTAACTTGAATGTGCAGTGATGGAAAACAAAGCCCTAGTTATGACAGGGACTGTGTTTGTGTGCATATTCCTCTGGTTGTTCTCTTTAAAGCACCAGTGAGCAGATGACAGCGGGATCCTGCTTGACTTCCCTCAGTTGAACATGTGACTAGAGAGCAGACAGTTCTGAAACCTGCAAAAGAGAAGAGCCAGAATTATTACCACTATGAATTGTGGTCTTGGCATCAGAAATAATGTATCAAGGTATGTTTATTTTTATAACAATGGTAATTCATGTTCCAAAATGAATAGATCTTTTTGTTTTAGTGACAGCCCAGTTTAATGAAAAACTTTTTAATCTTTATCCAAGTGCCTTGGAGTATTTAATTATTTTTTTTTTTTTGTATAAGATTTTCCTCGAATTATTAAAATAGTGCAACGATGACTATGTAAAGAGACCAGTGCAGCACTCTTGTTTTTTATTTTAATTTTTTAAAATAAATAATTATAACAGAAAAGAAGCATTGCAATTTTTTTTTTTTTTTTTTGCATAAAATAAAAAGTGTTGTTTACAGTCATCATAAATTCACTTTTAAAAGAACTATAGAATGCATTGATACAATATATAAAAATGTTCTCTAATGTCTAGGTAGGTGCAAAAATTGTCCAAACTACTTTACAACCCTAGGAAATGACCCTAACATGATATGGTATGGTATATTAGGGGTTCCCAAACCTTCAGCCTGTGACCCCCATTATCTTCTGAGGTGGTTATAAATATAAAAACCTTGCACACAATAGGGCACACATACCAATAGGCCCAAGTCCATTCATCGTTTAATTTTGAAGAAAACCACTCGGAGATCATCCTCCATGTACAGATGTGGCCTGTATTCATTTTTAATGTATGTGAGTGTCATAAAGGTGTTAAAGTTCAACCTTGTGCCATAAAATCAGTGTGCTGTGTATTTATTATAACATAATCACCCCAGGGGTCGCAAAAAAAAGGAAAGGTTGGTAGCTTTTTATTTGCATGATGTTTATGTAACTATTAACTACTATTTGTTTCTTCTGTAGGTTATGGATCAAATACGGTAATTCTAATAGTTTAATAAAATGAATTAGATTTTTGGAAGTCACCAGGCAACCCCCACTTTGGGAACCAGTGTGGTATATAATATATTTGGACAAATTGAGTTGATTCTTTGTTAAATGAGGCCATGGGCAGCTGTTGCTTAATGGTTAGAGTTGTTATCTAAAGGTTTTTTTTATTCCCATTCTGGCACTGATTGTAGGTGGGGGAGTGAAAAAAACACTCTCCTCCACCCTCAATACCACAGCTGAAGTGATTCCCTTGAGCAAGGCACCAAACCCTCAACTGCTCCACGTGTGTGTGTTCAGTGTGTGAGTCACTTTAAATAAAAATGTCTGTTAAATGCTAAAATTAATGATAATCTTTTGACAAAAATATGACAAGCTGAGTGATATGATACGAATCACATACATGCATTATAAAGCTGAGTAATTAAATGTGTTTGTTGCCTCATTTGAATGTGTACATGTGTCTGTTGCCTCACTACAAACATATCTGGCAAATTTCACCATATACATGTTAAACTAACAAAAGATGCATTTCAATAGACCTTATTCCTCTTTGGGGTGGCACTGAATACATCTGTATTCCATATTTCCCACATTTTGCATTCTGACACACTGAACAGATGAGTTGCTTGCATCAGAGAACTGCTCCTCAGCCGTACTCTTTCTTAAAGCCTGTCACTTTTTTAAAATAACAGCCACACATACAGTATGTCGTAAGTATAATGCAAGCTTAAATCATCTTAAAATTAAGAGGAGAAAATATTGTGAATCTGTTGTTCTGGTTGGGCTGTTTTTCAACAAGATTTTACTCTCACTGTATTTACATGAGGATGGGGAAACAATGAGGTCCATGATATATCATTTTCATGTACTGAACAATTAATATTGTAAAGCAATGTGCAGGTATATCCATATTCTCATCTTATGGCACCTTTAAACAACACAATACCAATGTTTTAACTTCAAAAGAGTTAAGAAACCAACATTCGGTGGAATAACCATGATGTTCATTCAAAAAAAGTGTAAATGTGTTTATGTATAAAACTTCTGTTTTACTTTTTTGTACTTTTTGTGAAAATTCACATACTCCATGTATAATAAGACATTCTGCCAAATTTTAGTCAAAGTATTTAAATGCATCTGGAATAGTTTTAAGAGTTCACACTTAACTCATGATTTACAAAAAGCTTGTTTGGCATGCTGTCCCCAGAGAGAGCCCTGAGCTCAAGGGATTCTCGAGTCCAGGGCTTTCTCCCTTTGCGGGGCGAGGGGAGATTGAGCTCAGGACGATTTCAAAACTCCCCCGCAGCTAAGGCCAAGGTGAACTTCCTGAGAGCGAGACATCTGGTAAAAGAGACTTAGGTTTATTTCGTCTATAATGTAGAGCACATTTGGGTGTTGGGAGGAAACCGGGGAACCCGGGGAAAACCCACACAGACACGAGGAGAACATGCCAGCTCCGCGCAGAAATGCCAGATGGTTCAGCAAGGAGACAGAGCCATTGGTATTCTTGCTGGTTGATGGGCCGCCGTGCTGCCCGTTTTGGATAAAGGTGGAAGAAGGGGGGGAGGGGGGTTTCTTCAAGACGAAGACAGTTGTAGAAAGAAAAAGAGGATATATATAGGAACTTAGGATCCTTTGATTGGAGAATCGTGATTAGCTAATTTGAGCCAGCTGGGTCAATCATGAGCACGTACTCCTCTCGAAATTAGTTTAATATATTAAACTTCACTTATTAGTACTATGAGATAACTCATAGAAAAGGCCAGAATTTATTTGAGCAGAATCGTTATTAGACTTCCTCCATGAAGGGATTTGTCATCATGACAGCTTGTTTTTTTTTTAAATTGAACTGTAAATGAACAAGATACATGTCTCCCAGAAGTCATGTTCAACTATTGAGGCTTAGACTCCAGTAAATTGTCAACGGAACATCTTTACGTTACGAACATCTAACATCCATTTTTCTCTTAACAGAAAATTGATGACGCAGGCGTGTGGATGAGGCTGAAGCAGCAGTGTTTGGTGGAGTTTGTGGACCAGACTCCTGTTCCTGCTGAACTGAGCCAGTGTTTGCACAGTACTGTAATCAGCTCAGTAGGCACGGGAGGCCAGCTCCATCTATCTCTCATATGACTCCCGTTCAGCTCCAGCCACTCAACAGAAGGATCTCACACGCTCTTCAGCTGAAGGTGCTTAGCACTTCATTTCCCACACAATATCTCCTAATGACATTTTAAATACGGCCCGTGCAACTAATTCCATTTTTACTAGCCTCGGATGGTAATGCATCTTTAAACAGCTTCTAAATATAGTCATTTATGGCCAGCTTCATATTTAACTCGTACATCTGTCATGACTTAGGAGGCGGTGTGCTGGCCCGCTGGCCGTCCGCTAACTCAATCTGCAGAGGTCCTTTTAAGCACAACTTCCTGTCTCGAACGCTGTCTTTCATATTTCACCCATCAAAGCTAAAAGTGGAGCTGTTTTTACAGTCCAGAGATGCAGATGTTTTGGTCTGTGTGGCCATGTCTCGCTTGGTTCCCCCTCCAATCCACATTTCCCAGAATTCATGTGGATTTTGTGGCCTAGCAGTTTTTGGAGGGAGTCAAATGGTTTTGTTTTTCATACATAGCAACGCTACATAAAGGAAAAGAAAGTGGAAAAGCTCCTCATCTCACTGTGGGCTCCATTAGCTCAGTCTGCTTCTCCTCAGCCCTCATTACAGGCATCTCCACCATCTCAGACTCGCTCTTCATCTTTCATGCCAACCTCTGCGCTCTCGGCAAGAGTTTATGCTCATCGTGAAAGGGATCTCACAATCAGCTCGTTATGAAGCCAACCGCATCATACTGCACCACTACGATAAAGTTTCATTTTACTCCGCAAACTCTCAAAGAATGCCTGCACGGTGATGTATGAAAAGCTATTGAAAAATCTGAGATGGGAAAATCAGAGACTGAATACTAGGGGCCAAAGATTAGCTAGTTTGCATGTGTTAATACGCTGCATAAAGCATCTTCCTACTTACACAATACAAAGTTTACCTTCTAATTAGTGATGGACTGTAGAGGTAACATCAGTGTTTTCAACCTTATGGATAGACATGAAGGTTAATCGACTTGTTGCTCAACTCACTATAATTAACTAGGGCAGAAAAACACATTAAATGACATTGAAGACAAAACTGCAGGTTGGAAACTGCTAAAAGTTTGCAAGGTGGAACTTTCACTGACACATTTAACATATCTGATTACGCAAAGTACATAAACTACAAAGTACATAAGGCTTTTTTATCTTCACCTATGGCTGAAATGTATTTGATTACAAATACAGGTTGGTTAGTTAAGTAGTTTTTATTTATATAGCACATTTTTTTTTACAACACAACGTTGTCCAAAAGGCTGAACACAATCAATGCTAATTAAAATAAATACTACATCGCATACATAACAATTAAAACATAAGGCAAACCCCTCAACATTAAAAAGGCTCAAATGCTAAAGAACAAAGATGCCGTTTCAGAAGCCTTTTAAAAACAGATAGAGTTGGTGCATGTCTGATGTGGGGTGGAAGTCCAATTCAGAGTTTTGGGGCGATAACAGCAAAAGCCTGATCCGCATTTCCCGTACACCGGGACCTTGGTACCACAGAATAAACTGATCAGAAGACCTTAGTGACCTACCAGAATTATATACATGTAGGACGTCTGATAAGCAAGGTGGTGCCAGATAATTTAAGGACTTAAAAACAAAAATGATTGGTTTAAAATCAATCTGTGAGCTAACAGGCAGCCAGCCCAGAGAGGAAAGGTCTAGCAACATGTGCTCATACTTGCAAGTACCTGATAGAAGTCTCACTGCTGCATTTTGGACTAATTGCAATCTATTCAGGGCATTTTGACTAGTACCCACATATAGAGAATTGCAATAGTCCAGTCTTCCCAAAATAATAGCATGGATCACCTTCTCAAGGTCATTATAAGAGAAATTTCTTCACTTGAAGTCATAATTGGAAAAAAAATGTATTTAACAACTGAATTGACTTGTTTGTTAAATTTCAGATCACTATCGAACTGAAACCCCATGTTTCTAACAACAGGTTTTTGATAAGTTGATAGCTCACCAAACCCTAATAATTCCAGAGAGGTAGGATCCCCAAACCAGACCATCTCAGTTTTTTCCTCATTGAAATTTAAAAGATGTGACGACAACCAGGTCTTAACCTCGATTAGACATCTCATAAGGGAGTCAGGGCCATTTTTACCATTTTAAAGGTTAACTTTATTGACATGTTAAAAAAAAGTGTCCCAAGTGTCCTTCAAAGTAGCACTGTATATGCATGTAAAGCATTTTGTACAGCAGCATTGATAACATAATTATTTGCATAAATTTCTTTATTAAACAGAATGGTTTAATGTCGTTAATTACAACTGGTCCTGTGAAATATAATTTTTATGCTGCATTAGTCTGCATTAAAAAAAAAACATTTAACATTCAAACAAATGGCACCTTGTCTATTAACCACAAGACAGCTGTTTTTTTAAGTTGCGACGATGATTCAGTATTGCCTGTTGCTGGCTATTTATTTATATCTAGCAGCTTAATAGTTAGTTATCACATATTGCAAGTTCAACGACACTTAGTGATGATTTTTTCTGACCAATCAATTTACAACATTTTAGCAAATGAGATGCTGCAATCTTTCATCGTTTTTAACAAAAATGTATTTTAGCCTTAGGGCTGTGCAATTATTCGAAATTAAAACGCAATCACGATTTGAAACGTTGTAATTAGCTAATCGTAAGAGGCTGTGATTTAAAATATAAATTATTTAATTTCCCCCTCCCATAGCAAATGTGTGACTGCCATCTTTGTGTTACAGTCTTACTAGCTAATTGAGTGAGCACACTTTTGTTCGTTTTTTATAATAGATTGACACTTCTGTCTCGCACATTTTTGCCATGTTACAATACCACAGTTGTACATTGAATGTTGTGATATTTTGTGTCGCATCTGTGAAAATGTTTTGTTTTTAAACAATATAAGCTACAGAAATGCTCTTATTAGCCATGTTAGTTTGCTGAGCATTCTGTATTTTTATAATTATATTTTTTGTTTATATAATAAGCTACACTATCTCCCTAATTTGAGTTTAACTTCTTTTCAGCAAGGTAAGACATTTTATTTGTACGTACTGTTTGCTCTAAAGAAAAATGAATGTTTAATTTCTGAATATTTAAAAAATAATTTGAATAAATGTTGGAGTAAGTTAATATCTTTTATTACTTACATGTCTATTACATGTCTCCTTTTTTGTCTAATACTCATTGCATTTTAGTAGTAAGAAGCTACAATACAGATTAATGAGCTGAAGCTTGACTTCAAAACTAAATTGCAAATCAAATCAATATCGCAATTTCTGTTATCAAAATCGCAATTAGATATTTTCCCCAAATAACACAGCCCTATTCAGCCTTACAACATTAATTACTTGATTTGTTTATAAGTGTCCTTATCTGAATAAAATAATCTGTGTAATATGTGCACAAGCCTTACGAAGATACTTTGCACAATACAAGTAAAAGTACCTTAGATAAACAAGTTATATCTCTGAACTAAAACAAACACATAAAGAGACAAATCACTTCCAAACTTTATATTAAAAAACACAATCCAGCTTCATAATAACTTCATAAGTAATAGCACATAAACAGCAACAAACAAAAAAAAAAAAAAAAAAAAAAGGAAAGAAAGAAAATGCAATAAAGAAAGACCCATACATTAAAATTTTTTAAACTTGCAAAAATGTAAGTTTATAAAGCCTTATTGCCTTAGGAACAAAAAAATTATATATATAAAAAAAAAAAATAATAATAATAATATATATTACTAAACCTTCTTTTAGAGGGCAACAATACAAAAAAAAAGGCTTCAGAGGATGGGATTCATCTCCTTTCACACTTTGAATTTTCCTTATCATTTGCTGTTTATGTAACTCTGCTAGACTCTGCAGAGGCAAACCAATAATCTTGTAGAATCAGCATCAACAGGAACAGCTTAATATACTCAATATAGGTAGTATAAAAAAATTCTCAGTATATTTTATCTAAACAAACAGTTTAGTTTCCTGAAAATATGCATTCTCTGATAAACTTTCTTAGTAACAATTTTGAGTTCTGCTGGAACTTTAATGTGGTATCAAAGATTGTGCCCAGATAATTATATTCCTGTACCCTTTCAACTTGTTTTCCATTAAAATGCCCTTCTTTCACCTCTGAGGCTTTTTTTTTTATCAATTACCATCTCTTGTTGTTTTAGCGATGTTCAGTTGTAGTCAGCTTCTTTGCAACATTAAAAAAAAATTGTTTATTGTTGTTATTACAATCTGTATTTAACAAGGATAAAAAACACATATTTGCCAGCAGCATATTTGACTATATGACAATTGTCCTTATGCTGCGACATTCATTTGTGTACAGTCCAAAAGTAGTATATCCAAATTTATATGTTAGAGAAAAATGTAAAAGTAAAATTTTAAAAAGAGCAAAATTCAAGAAAAACAAATAAAAAAAATCTAAAATTTAGTAGTTTGTAATGATTTCCCCCAATATTTCTTATGATATTAAATGTATAATCTTTCTATTTCTAAATATGTTTGATGACTAAAATATCATTTGAATAAATATATCCGTTTAATAAATCTGCATTGTTCAAATGCACCAAAATATATAACCTATATTCACTGAGAAATGGATACAAATATTCATTTTCAAAATGCGGTGTACTCATTTATCTTGAGCACTGTACATCCACATCATCTCTTTCCAGCAGTCCTCCATTTCTTTTTGTAATCTGCACATCTAATCATCGCACTTCACATCTGTAGCCATTTGAAGAATGAAGAGCAGAAAAAACTCATCCCCTCGAGGGTCTTCCTCAGTCTGTCATCCTCTCCTCAGATGCAGAACTTAGCCACTGTGAACAAAGAGTTCAATCACTGTTCACCAATCAGCTAAGCTCTGCACCTGCTAGAAAAGAGTTCTCGGCCTGCAGAGAAAAGCCTGCTCTTCTTCTACCTTCATGATTTTCTGGAGCTGCATTAAGACGGAGCCTCTGGTTGGCATAGCAGCCGTCCGGGTGGCGGTTGTGTGGTAATCCCTGGCAATGTGATTTTTATCTTAAGTCACAAATCAGCACGCCAGGAACCCACACAGCCAGCAGCATGAAAGGCCAGGCCTGCAGATCCTCTCGGTCTCCTGTGATGGAGCACGCTTGACTGGGCTGCGGAAATGTCCCTCATTATCCCCATCAGACCCTCCCTTATGAGGAGACGCTCAGGTTTCAGCCCTGACACATTTCTCAGGAGTTCTTTTGCAGTTTTTTTTTTTTTTTTTTTTTTGCATAAGTATAGCGATTGTAACTGAGTTTTCTGAGAAGTGAAAGAACCGGGGCTGCTTTTTATGTCTAGGAATGAAGGAAAGTTGTGAAAACTTTTTTTAGTCTGTGTTTTTATATCAGTTTTCAAATAGAGCTGAAGAAAGGAAAGAAGAGGCAGGGATGTGTAAGAATGTGTGATAAAAAAAACAGGGAGAAAAAACTAAAACCGAGTTTTAAAATATGCATCCAGTGTGCTCTTTGCAGTGGTAACACTGCATAATAAGGTCTTGTCATTTAATGTATTGTAAAGGGTTTTTACAACATTAAGCTTTGTTAATGAGAACTTCCATATTCATTTTAGTTCACTGTGCATTTACTGTTAACAGACACAACTTGTTTGTCTTCAAGGTGCAGTATGTAAGTTTGACACCCAGTGGTTGAACTAGGTATTGCACACCTGGTTCAAAACACATGCAAGCACAGGTTGTCAGATTGACGGCAACCAACAGAAGTGTGCCTGACTGTCAAGCCTAAAGGCTGATTGAAGTCCTGTTCTACATAAAAGCAACGGCATGCAATAGAAGGAATAGTTTTCATACTAAAAGGAGTTTTTGTCCAAACAAACACCTGAAATTTATATTTTAGAAACGGCTTTGATTTATTTCAGCTGAACAACAGGATAAACTGACAATGATCACCTCAGGAACACCTCATGTGCTTTATTCAGTGTTCAATGCTAATAATGTGAGTTTGAATGCCATTTTACATGACGTTTACTGTCATACTACTAAAAGCAGCAGCAGATAGTTCACCTAAGATCTTGAAAATGAAGTAAACTGTTTAAAATTGAACTTGAGAACTGAGACTAGGTGCAAAGCAACACATATCAGTGATTCAGCATGTGCATTTAATAATGTTAAAGAGGTTTAAAATGTATTAATTAGATGATTGACCTTACCATTTTGTTGGAGTGCAGTGAGTGCACTATTCTGTGCTTTTAAATGGCTGTATTTAATTTTCTGTTGTGTTTATGACGTGCTTATCGCTGGAAAATTGTCAGGTAGCATGTTGTTCGGACACAGGATTACAATGTAACCTGCTCACCTGATGTTTACATTCATAATATTTATATTATTTTCTAATTATAACCACCTAATGTGGAATTCTGAATCTGTGTCTCATTTCAGAGGCTGCTACTGTCCACCAGAGGTCATATTTCAGTCACAGATACACACTTTGAGAGCCTGACTGAATGAATTACACTGTTTTCCACCAAGTCAATCCGGGGTGCTGAAATATAATTAGCTAAACTGGCATTGGGCAGGCTGAAGGGACCAAAACAAAGACAGACGTATTGGCATGTGAGTATCCGACTATAGCATTGTTTTTAAGACAAGTATGATCACTTAGCATGTTTCTTAAATATCTGCAATATTATGGTATTTTTATGCTTAAGAAGAGTAAAAAAAACTTTCATACAGCACATTTGATCTTAAAATGTGTTTGTACATTTGAGGTTAACATTATCTAAGGTTCATTATTAGCTCAGTAATTTTAACAAATATTCTTGCTTATTAAAAAATAGACTACGTAAACTGTTATGTCGTGTAAAATGTTATATTATTGCATTAATGCATGTATGTATAAATCTTAATAGAAATAATGTTTTTTAAGATTTTTGAGTTTTTATTTAGTTTTGTAAAATTGTATTCATTGTACAACAATTAAAAGTATGAAGTAAAATTTATCACTTAAAATGTTCAAAAGATACATTTAAAAGTGCCTTTTTTTCCTATACCAACAAGACAGTTGTACCATTCAGGATTTAAATTTCACAAATAAATGTAAACGTATTTTAAACAGTAAAAAATCTCATCAGCCCCTCAAAAAAAAAAAACTGAAAACTGAAAATCACAAGTCATAATTCAGTCCTAATAGCTTTTCCTGACACTCTGTTGCCGCGCCGCTGAACCTCCCAACAACAGGTGCAATCTGCCTTCAGAATTGAGCACATTTCAGTGCACGTCTGAGCGAGGCAGACGCCCGGTTTGTGTACTGAAGAATTATTGACGCCGGCTAGACGCTGACCTCTGAAGACAAACTGGCTCGCTGAGAATGAAAATGCTGCATTAGCGCAGAATGATTATTCGGACCGGCATGATTCATCCAAGTCAAGTGACATAAACCACAATGTCTTGGGGAAAAAAAGCATCCTGTCTCCTGCTGAGTCCCCAAACAAATAAAACTGTCTTGTCGGCGGATTAAACGCACCACATCTTCACCAAAAACTCAGGTCCAGAGCGAGGTGACTAATAGATTTATCTCAGGGCTCATAAAGAGGAGGCTGCCGCTCCGTTAAACAGAGCAATATCTTGAGCTTCAAAGCCAGACAATTACTCTTTCTTCTGCTCTCGTTGCCCGTCCTCCACAGCTTTTAAGGAAGCAACAAATAGTGGACACAGGGAATCCCTCCCTGGTGGAGGAAGAGCAGCGGGACCCTCCTCTCTCCTAAAGCCTGTCTGAAAAAAGCTGCTGACCCGTTTCTTTTCTGGTGCTGGGGATTTGTTTGAGAAGCACATTCCAAATTCATCATAATACAAACAGATCTGGACAGGCTTCCTGGAAAAAGTGCAGAAGAGGCAGGCGGGAGCTTCTGGAAGAATGTGCATGCGGACACTGCGAGGGAGTGCGTTTAATAATGTGGGGAGTACCAACTAAAGGCTTTTTATGACTTTTGTATCTCCTGGGATTCTGATCGGCTTTTTTGTTGAAGGGGCTCATATTGTGCTCCTTTTTATAAGATGCCAAATAAATCGGTAATGTTTGCAGACTGTATCTGTAAAGTTTAAGCTCAAAATACCCCACAGATCATTTATTTCAGCTTGTCAAAGTTGCACTTCTTTGATTGTGTGCAAAAACCAATGCAATCTCACGACGATAACTTTTTGATTTAGTGGCTAATTCATATTTGTATAATTTAATTTGTACAATTTGCTGATCTCCCAATGGCGGTTGGGTTCAGGGATGGGGCTGGGAACTAGCCACTAAACTGACAAAGCATAAAATACTTAAGTTTTCTTGTTAGATCAGACTGGCAACATTTCTTTAAATGCAAATGAGCTGGTGATTTTGAGGAGAGGCCAGATTCTAAATCTGAATCTCATGCAACCAAGTTGTTAGAAATGAGTGTATTAGGCAACAATGTAGCCAAAAACAAAAGATTTTCTCTTGCGTTTTAAAAAATGTTTCACATCTACACAAAATTGTTTAAATTATCTGCTTGTACACGTCTGTAAAAAGGTCAAAAATGCGGTATTTTGTATGTCAGGCCAGTATTTAGCTCTGGTACTTGTAAACAGCACCTGTAGGGAAGTGATGATGTGTTGTTGGCGGTAGAATTTGCCATCTCTGTTTGGTAGTCTGATATCGCTGTTGGTTTTAATGTGTGTAATGTGTAATTGTTGTTTGTTTGTTTGTCCCTGCTTTTAATCTACACCTCCCTAAACATATCCTATGCGTGCAAGACACCATCTTTTTCAAAGACTTTCATTTTCAAAAACCTAAAAACACCATACATTTATCTGTTTTTTCAGCCACAAAAACACAATTGTTGTGTAAACAAACAGGCATTTTATTAAAAAAAGCAGACTAATGTAAAAAAAGAGAAAAATATATAAATAAATAAAGGCAGAAAAAGGCTTTACCAAAACAAAATTACTAGTTTGTCATTTTTCATTTTTTTTTTTTTTCTGGGTTAGTAGATGAACCGAGGTACTGAGTTTGGGTGGGAATCTTTAAGGATTTTACTATCCAGTACTAATTCTGATTTTGGAAGCCATGATTCAATATTGAAAACAATTCTTTACCTACAATTGTCCTATCCGCTTGTTAAGTCGTGACATATCGGTGATGTATGGAATACTGTTTCCAGTTCCAAGCCGCTACTCATTTGAATTAAGAAAATATTTGTTTATGGCCACTTTTTAGTCATGTCACACATTAAACTGACTTTTATCTAAAAATCACAGTGTACGCATCAGTCTCTGGGCTTGCTGCATCACAGACACCAATATTTAACAATGTATGAGTCTCCCCATACAGTTTGATATAGAGATTGGAGTCGGAAGCCCCTTTGCGTGACGTCACACTTAACAAGCGGATTTCTACAGCTGTGCAAAAACATCATTCTAACTTCAAATGTTACCAGAATTGTAGTATATATGCTTTTGTTTATGGTTAAAAAAAACTCCCTTTCATTTCAAGTTTATGTTTGCAGAACACAAGCTGCAAACTTCTACTTATCTTTCCATAATGGTGACATGGTTGTGTTGTAATCTGCACGTTAAGTCTAACGTCAAGCAAAGTTGTCATAAACAAATATTTTCTCAATTCAAATGAGTAACGGCTTGGACCCGAAAACAGTATTCCATAAGTCACGACTTAACTAGCAGATCAGTGTCCATGCATCATGTCCATGTCCATTCCCTTTGGGACCGTGACACAGCATCTTTAAAATTCATAGGTTTATCCAAATCTTTGTCCAAAGAAAGCAACCTTGGCAGCACATGTACAAGTACCTGTCGACATTTAATTTTTTTTCTGTTTCTAGCTCATGTACACCACCGCAATCTAATTTGAATAAAGAATCAATTCTGAACTTTCGAGAATCTTTTCAGAATCATTAGAGGTAGAATTGCGATGCATCAATGAATCGATTTTTTTTCCCTGCTGACAAGCATTTTATCAAGATTTGCATCACATGTCCCATTTAATGTAGCTCTTACACAATGTGACATTTGTGTTTGTGTGTGTGTGTGTGTGTATGTGTGTGTGTGTTTCCAAAAATAACCAAGCAATGGGACGTGCCATTAAAATCTGTTGACAGTGCAGGTTGAGACAGCATGAGCTGATGGTGGAGAGTCCCTTTTCATTTCCAAAAACCTTTTGTCGGATTTTTCAGAGAATGAGCCGTTCGAGACTGTAAATCTTGTTGGACCTCAAACTATATAAAGGTCAGAGAAGATGTGACAGTCTTACCTGATTTGTGAGCTCAGAGGATCATTTCTTCCACAACGGTGCGTGCTGATTGGTCCATGTCATCTTTAATGATGGATAAACAGCGGCGTGCTAATGCTTGCTGCCGAGCGTCTTCCTGGACCATTAGCTCTCCGTACAAATACACACCCATAGCCTGCCACACACAAACACACACGTTAGAATCAGGACTTGCTCTTTATTGAGTGAGAGTTGTGTTCTTAAACCTAAACTACCTACATAGGCAGCTAACTTCCATGGCAGCTTCTTTAGCAAGATAAAACCTTATACATGAATAATAATAAAAAAAATGCTCAAATACACTTTAATTTATAAATATAACAATAAACTAAAATAAAAAAAAATGAATTGCTGTTTAAACTTTGGGGTCAGCTGTTCAGAAAGGCTTTTTATTAACAATAATTCTCTCTAAATTACAAAATGTTAACTTTTAATTTGGATGAAATGTTATTAATAGTTCATGAAAATAAAACAAAAACATTTTTTTTTTACTCAAGCACATAAATAAATTGACGTTTAAAGTCTTTTTGTTTTAACATTTATTTTCATTTTCAATACAACATGATACCACTGTCTGAACAGTGTAAGAAGTTTACCTTTCCTAATAACACATTAAAGCAGTGGTTCCCAACATTTTATCACCACAAACTGGTCAACGCTTGACAGTTTTACCACAGACCCTTGGGGGGGGGGGGGGGGGGGGGGGTATGGGGTGCGCCTACTAATATGCGTGCGCCTACATTGGAAATAGCAAATTTGTGCACTGAAAGACACGACAGCTAGTGCTTTGCAACTCTCATATGGTTGCCCACTGAAGCTAAGCACAGCTGCGCCTTGTCAGTACCTGGATGGAAGACCACATAGGTAAGCTAGGTTGCTGCCGGAAGTGGTCTTAGTGATGCCAGCAGGGGGCACTCAACCTGTGATCTGTGTGGGTCCTAACGCCCCAGTAGATTGATGGGGACTCTTTACTGCTCAGTGAACGCCGTCTTTCTGATGAGACGTTAAACCGAGGTCCTGACTCTCTGTGATCGTTAAAAATCCCAAGATGTCCTTTGAAAAAGAGTAGGGGTTTAACCCCTGCATCCTGGCCAAATTTGCCCACTGGCTTCTAACTATACCCTTCTTACTATGCCCATATCATAATTGGCTTCATCACTCTGTCTCCTCTACATCAATCAGCTGGTGTGTGGTGTGCAGTCTGGCACAATATGGCTGCCGTCTTTTCATCCAGGTGAACCCTGCACACTGGTGGTGGATGAGGAGATTCCCTCCATGTGTAAAGCGATTTGAGTGTCCAGAAAAAGCGCTATACAAATGTAAGGAAATATTATGTGAATGGCCCCAAGGCTGCCATCATTTGCGATCTCCAGCAGTTGAACAACTGACATGCTGGATTCACCTGATTTATTGACAAATAGATTGTGGAACCATTTCTTGGCAATTAGAGGGTCCTTCACTGGGCCTTTTCCTTTTTGCAAAGAAACCTTCACAAAGTTCTTACTCATTTTACTAGCTTGTGGGTTAAATTTTGGCCATAAAGTAACCGAGATGTAATTGAGAAAATAAGCTCATGTTTCACAATAAAGGATTGTTAATACTCAGAAAAATAACATAGTGTTTAAATGAAACATAACAATTACAAAATATTTAAATAAAAAAACACAACGAACTGTTAATAAAAGAAAAACTACAAAAGTTACTTGGAAATACTCAACAACTACTAAATAACACTGCTTCTTTGTAAACAACACACATGATTCTGCCTTAGAATTTGCCAAAATAATAAAAAAAAAAGCAAAATAAATGTAAACAAATTAAGCAGACTACTTGTTATAAACATGCCTCCAATAAAGGCAGCTCATTAGTTGTGAAATGAACGTGCTCTGGAATAAGTCATGTACCTGGTCATGGATCAGAAAGAGCTCAACGTCTCGGTATGCGGCGGTGTGTTTATGCTTGACCGCAAGTTCACACCAGCGATGTTTCACCTAACAAGAAAGAGACAGATAGAAAGTGATTAAACCCAGATGAAAGCGGCCCAACAGCTCACGGGACGTCACCACCTGCGGGCATCGCACGCATTGGGGGAAATCAGTGCGAGCGCGTGACTCTGTGGTTGTTATCAGTGTGTTCTTAACACAGAGGTGTGCGCTCTGTTTATGTGTGATGTGTGTAAATGAAGACAGTGTTAAAGCGGAGAGATCACAGACTGGCTCTGTCTTCCTCTTCTTGCTCTCCGCCGTCATTCAACTGAACACGACCCAAAAACCTGACCTCATCCACGCCTCGGAGATCTCATTACACTGCTGTATCACTCACACACACACACACACACTCCACGCTTGGAGGAGTCATGACTGTTTTAAAAGGAGGATTGTTCATGTTCAGGACAAACTCTGTAGCATGTGTGGCATAATGTTGCTCTTGGAGAAAAAAGAGGTGCTTTTGCAGTGATAAACAGTATAGAAGATTGATGTTTAGTTCCTTGAAAAACATTTCAACAACTCTTGAAAGAACATTTCACTAATTGGTTTAAATTTCACAAAGGTATTTCACTTATAGCAGTGATGCCCAAACTAGGGCCCACAGGCCAGAGTTTGCCCTTTGTATCCTTTGATTTGGCCCCCCAGATGGAAAATGATTGAGAAGGGTTAAGGAATGCCTTTAACAGAGATTCTTATTTATATTTAATATAACCTTTTGTTTGTCTATATTGTTAAGTGAAAAGAAAAGCTAACTGAGATGAAACGTTTTAATTAAATGTTGTAAAGAAATCAGATTAAAAAAGTGTATTTTTTCTCTACGAATAGGGGACAAAGCAGAAGAATTTTGCCTTGCAAATCAGGGCAAAGGCATGCTGAACGCATGACTATTGTATTCGGCTTTGAGCTCCATTGTTTTATAAATGGTATTTTTTATATAGATTTATATGAAATAGGTTTGTTAAAAAATTAAAATGCATTAGTAAATAAGTTTTTTTTTTCTATTATTTTATTTTATGAAATAATTTAGGAAATTACCAATGGCAATCTTACTGTAATATAGTTTGCAATGTTTACTTTCGGCCCAAAGCTCTAAATCAAGCTTGGATTTTGGCCCTTCATAAGAAAAAGGTTGTGCACCCCTACTTTATAAAGCACAATAGTCCAGACATAATAACCATAAAAATCTTCCAGACATAATAACTGTATTCATTTCTCCATAAACTCTACAAATTGGGTCAAATATGGACAAACTCAACATTGGGTTACATTTGTTTTCCATTAATTACACATTTTGTGAAGCCATCTGTTAATATAATTCAAAACATAATTGATGCTGTACAGAAAATTCCACCAACCAGATCGATCTTTAGCTCTTAACCCACACCCAAGAAGCACGTTACAATCTATTCTGTAAGGTTTCAGAATACTTAAACATGTATATTTGCATAATTTGTTTTAAAAGTAATGCATTTTTTTATAGATGCAATAAATAACTATAAATGCATGTTTTAATGAAACTGTTGTTCACAACATTTCTTAAGATCAAAGTTCTTTCCATCATTTAATCCATGAAGTGCACAGTCAATTAGATTTTTTTTTACTCAAACTCACGTAAATTGTTGTTCAAAACCTTTTTTTAGACATTTATTTTCATTTTTATACAACACGATAAATATGTCTGAACAGTGTAAGAGGTTTACATTTTTGGTAAAATAACAGCATAGCACAACAACAGGAAGGGGGGTAGATTTCTAGGCAACCAACAACCATTTTCTCAGAGTATGACAAGCTGACAAAACATTGCTGCAGCCCTGATACAAGTCTTATTTGGAAGGTACGGGTGCGTCGCTTCTTATGCGTGCGCCTCCATTGAAAATAACAAATTCATGCGCGGAAGAGACGCGATAGCTAGCTCTCTGCAACTGTCACATGGTCATTCACTGAAGCTAAGCAGGGCTGTGGCCGATCAGTACCTGAATGGGAGACCACATGGGAAAGCTAGGCTGCTAGGTTTTTGCTAGGCTGCTAGGTTTTTAATGGTTTGTGGCAATCGGTTTCCTCAAACAGTTTGAGTTGCCTTAACTTATTGGGTTTTACAGTACTCAGTTGGCTTACGTTCTCTTTATTGGGTTCTACTGTACTCAGATTGCTTCGTTTACTCAAATGGATCAAGTTCACAGTATCATAAGGATTAGTTTTTGAACTTAAATGGTTTGTTGCAATCGGTTTCCTCAAATGATTTGAGTTACCCTAACTTTTTGGCTTTTACAGTGTGCTTGATACCCCATAAAAAATTTAAGTGCCATTTAAAACAGAAAAGAAGCAGGTGGATTTGCTAGAATGCACATTTTGAAACTCAACATTTGTGCAATCGAGGCATATTAGGAAACTTTGGATAAAAATATTCACATCAACACAATCACTTTATTTAGCGTTGGATTTTGAAATGATTAATCAGAATGGGTTCATTACAACTGCAACTTTCCACATAAACAGCTACTAACATGGATTTGCATGTTTACAACTATAAAGCTGCTCACTTTAAAGAAACCTACAGAATAAAGTATTAAAAAACACTCTCTAATTGGATGTTTTCTTTGTCAATTTAGTTGTATTCATTTTGTTATCTAGAGAAAAACATAATTTACATAATCATCTAAATGTCGCTTTAGCTGAAGAGTTATTACAAACGTATTTTACTTCAATACAAAGACTAAAATCTATTTATTTCATTTATTAATCAACAACCCTCAAACTAGCTTTAATTGGTTGTCCCTTCGGCAGTTGTTATAGCTTTATAGGTGTTGTGACTGTATCAGTGCCTCTAACTAGATTTGTGCATATTTGAAGGTGAAAAAAAACGGATGAGTTGAAAGGATTTTTTATGCTAATTAACATTTCTGCCACAAAAGCTTTTAATTTTGCTTAAGTGAATCTCCGGATTCATGGGTCGGACCCGATAGTTCTGCATCATAATAAGCCCGTTAGCGATGCTAAGCAGAATCGGTGTTCTCGTTTGCTCTCTCTGGGCCTCTGTGCGGCGCAGCAGGGGTTTAATTGAAGCTGAATGGCTGGCAGCTCATGGGGGCCCGAAGGTGGAGGCAGTTCAATGATTAATGAAGTAAGATTGTGCGAGTGTGTGTACAAGCGTGTGAGAATGTTTGCTTTAAGACGAGGTGTGAAGTGACTCAGGAAAACAACAGGAAGCGGCGGCCCTGCAAAGAGCCTTCCGGTCACAAATCAGCCTCTATTTAAGCAGCATGTTCAAATGTCACATCCAGTTTACCAGGAACGAGCTTTTTCGCTGTCTTTCCTGCCGACACCATTAACTCCCCTCTGTCCTCACCTGTCTGCAAAGCTTATTTCAACAGAGCTGCTGCATTGTTTGTTGCTTTCTTCTTTTATCTTTTAAGTGTCAGACGTGCTGTCGTGGGTTTTCCAATCAATTGTGTTTCATGCAAAAGTTCTCAGTTGTGATTTCCGTCTCAACTGTTCCGACTGTGGTTTCACTTCACATCTCAGTGCGCGGATAAAATTAACACTCGCCAATTGCTATATGCAAATACAAAAAGGTGCTTTAGTGTGTAGATGATACTTTACATAACATACTGTGTGATTTGAAATGATTTGAGTCTAACATAAATGAATGAAATCTTAGCGTATAAATGCTCTACTTGAAAAAAGGCCAGGGTCTGCTGCACATCTAATAAATTCAACAGTACTATACTGGCAGAATGTAATGTCTATATAAATGGTGTGAGCAAATATATCAACAGATTGGAAATATATTGTAACATATTAAAATTTGAAACAATATATATATTTTTTATTGACTTTGTGATTAAGCTACACTTAAAAAAAAGGTGGTGATGTTGTAAGGCATTTGGGCAGATATGGACAAAAGTTTAGTTCAACTAGGGCTGGGCGAAATTGCAAAAACATTATCACGATATCATGTTTCATATCATTCAACATCCATAATTATTGAATAAGTTTTTAACAATCCATTTAGGAATATTAGGATTTTTTTATTTAACCACTTTATTTTAATTTACCAACATTACTAAGGTTTTAATGGTCAAAAAAATATAAACAAAATATCTGATCTCTTTGTGATAAAATAAACATAAGAGTTTAAGAGACTCTTAAACTTGATAAATAAAATGTTACAAAGTGTGTGCAGTGTTGAAGTGTAAATGCTAAACAATTAAAGCAAACTATAAGGTGTGATAAATAATGATACAGTAAACCTCAAACTCTGTTAACAACACAATTTATGATCATCAAATCTGAGCTTTCAAGTAAAGGAACCAACCATAGTTATTCAAATACATACTGCAACATTACAAATTTTGAAGTTGAATGACTATATTCCCCCCTATGCTAAAAAATCTTTGAGATGTGGTGCAAGTGGCTGGGATGCACAAGAAAAGAAACCAAAAAGCCACTCTGCAATTTTCGCATGTGTTGTTATTCTGATCTGAAATGACAAGCGTGTGCGCGTGGATTCCTTGACCATTTACAATGGTGACCATCAACCATTTCCTTAGAAAATGACAAATGGACAAACCATTGCTGCAGCTCTGATGCAAGTTTATGGAGAAAAGTAAAAAGTGTTGCAGTGTTTGGGCGCGCTGTGTTTGGCTAAGGTAATTAGTCTGCCATTACTATTGAAATATGTATATTTCACACAAAGTGTGAAGCAGATTGGTTAGTTCTACTTATATGAATTGTGGTGCACTCGCAGCATTCTAAAGAGTTCAAATGTTTTTTAACTAGCTGTGGCTGGAAAATGCACATGGTCCATGTGCGTGCCGCTTACACAACATGTGCGTTCCGCTCCCGTATGCCTGTCGTACAAGTCCCGTGCCTTAATTGGAAATGACAAACTTACACCCCAAGCTTATTGGCACTGCTTCCAAGTCGCGCGCTCAGCAGCCACATTTTATTAAAACTGTAGCGCTTCATACCAAAACTACATGCAGAAACTTTCATTTAATTGA